GGGTGAGCCTCGGGCCCGCCCCCCCTCGAGCTGCCGGAGGCGGGAAAGCGCCCAGGCCGCGCCCACCGCCCTGCGCCCTGCCCCCAGCCGCCACTCCCGCGCCTCCGACTCCGCTGTCCTCCCGGGATCGGCTTGCGGGGGACCCTCCGCGCAGGTGAGTGCTGGGGACGTGGGCAAAGGGGGCTCCTTCCTCCCGTGGGAGGGGGCTTGGGTGGGGTCCGATCCCCCCCCCCCGACCCACACCCCGGGCTGGGAGCGCCAGGTCTTGTTTGCTTGCGCGCGCGGACCTGGGGCAGCGGCGTCCCCGGTCCCCCGCCCAGGGAGGCCACGATCGGTTTGGGCGGAGGGGCTGTGAATAAGGGGGTGGGGGTCAGAAGGGGAAGGGTCCCCGGGAAAGGGAGGCCGGCGGGCGATGGCAGCGGGGGAGAGGGGAGATGTTGGGGTGATGATGGTGGCTGGGAAAGGCTCTCGGGGCTGCCCTGAGCTTGCGGCTCGGGTTCTCAGGAGAAGGGGAGGGGCAGCTCCCTCCCCCCCCCCCCCCCCCCCGTGTTGATTGAGGAGTTTCCCTTTGTTACCTGGAAACTGGACCCTCGAGGAGCAGGGTGCCGAGGAGCGTGGCCCAGTGCCAGCGTGGACACATCAACAGAACAAAATGGAACTTGCTGGCGTGGGGTTTAGTCAGTCCAGGGTGTGGGCAAAGAAGGGGGCCGTAAAGCTTCGGGGTTCCCGAGTGAGCGTGCATCACCCCTTTTCTCCTCCGTGTCTGCAATCCTGATTGCTCCCCAGGAGCTCTGGGGGGGGTGGGTCCCCCATGCCCACCATTCCCCATTTGGGTGGCCCTGTGGTGCCTCCCCCTTTGTGTCTCCCCTAGCTTTGGAAGAGCAGCCTGCGCCCTGCAGCTTTCCTCTGCTCTTACAAGTGGTAGAGCAAGCTGGCTGGAAAAGAAGGGAGCCATGGCCAACCTCAGACCCCCAGGGCCTGTGGCTTTTTTGCCAGGGTGGCCTGTCTCTGCTTCCTTTGTCTCCATGGCTTGGCACCCTCGCCCAGCCTGGTTTTCCAGGGTGGTAGCTGGATTGGTGGGTACCCCGGGGCCTCTGGGCAAGGCCCCCCACCTTGGGGACCTAGCAGCCCTCATATTGTATATGTTGAATGTGTGTGTCTGTTTCACAACTTGGCCTTCTGCACGTGACCTGCCTGGTGGTTGCCATGGAAACCCCTCCAATTCCCAGCCTCCCTCCCTTTTCTGCCCTTTCCTCCCCTCCCCTGGTGTCTCCCCTCCCCCAATATGGTTGCCTGGATACTGGTCACCCTTGGCTTCTGAAAGAGGAGACCCTGGAAATCTGGCTCCCACTTCAAACAGGTGACCCTTCCCCCTCCATCCTCCTGACACACTGTCACAAGCATCACCAACACGATACACAGAGCACAACACACCCACCCTCCGCACACCCTCACACCCCCATTAACACACGCATCATACCATATCTACACCCCCAGTACACCATATCATACCACCTAATCTACTTCCTTATACCTCCCCTCATTCTGTGTATGCGTGTGCGCTTACACTCATCCCAACAGGAACACATACTATTGCACACACACACACACCAGCAGAAGGTGGAAGAGGAAAGGACACCCAGATTTCTTTACAGGAGCCAGAACTGAGTCTGGGCACAGACATCTCCTCATGCCAAATTGTCCTTTCCTTTCCTGAGGCTCCAGGCTCTTCCTGTTACTGTGCCCCAGAGCTAAGGAGCACTGGGAGGAGGGGAGCCTCAAAAGGGGAAGTTAGGGTGCCTGGCTCTGGTCAGAGGCTCAGGCTGCTCCTCCTTACCAAGTCACGTTTTCCTGCTTCCGGCTTGGCTTCTGCAGCCAGATCTGTGCATTTGGAAGGCAGAAGCAGTTTTGCCAAGGAGCCCGGGATGGTCAGGGCTCTTCTGAGACTTGGGGCCCCTCTGGTCCTTCAGTGGCAGGTGCCAGAAAGAAGAATTTCCTTCCTAGTTTCCATTAGCTATTTGGCTGGTGGGGAGCGCGTTTCATGTAGTCACTGGGTGAATTGTTGGAAGCATCTACCGTGTGCCAGGCATTGGGGAGCGCAGCAGAGAGGAGGGAGACACCGCTCCTGACCTCAGGATCAGATGTCTCAGAGCCAGGAGTCTTGGAGGAGAAATCTTGTCAGGATGTAGGTGGGGAAACTGAGGCTTGGGGGCCTTCATCCCACTGGTGGCTCAGCTGGGCTGGCCCTGACAGAGCCTTTAGTTACAGGCAGGTCTTTTGGGTCCTCCACTTTCTGGTCTGTATCTCTGGCCTTCTTTTCATCTTTTGGAGAGTGGGGTGCTCCTTCCTAGGGACGTATGAGCGCCCCCTTGTAGGTTCAGACATTAGAAGCTTGTGCCACTGTGGCAGTCTTTTAAAGTGAGGTTGGAGGGTGTGGCACAGAGAGGGGGAGAAGGAGCGGTTCACTGGACCTGGGAACCTCAGCCCACCTTCCTCCACCCCATACGTCTGAGCACACTCTTGAGTTACTCTCCCTTGGTTGGACTCTGCTGGTCGGAGTCCAGGGCACCTGATAGCCTCTGGCTTACAGATCAGCCTTGCCAAGAGTGCCCTGAGGGAGCAAACTGTTAGCCTAGGCAGTACCCAAGGACACAGCCTGGAGGCACAGAGGAGCCAAATTCCCTCCGTGTTTCCCAAGGGCAGATACATTTATCCCTCTAGTGTCCTTTCAGACCGAAATTGGCTCTTGGGTAAAACCTACAAAAGGCCTTGGAAAGTACAAGTAACTCTAATCCTCCAGGAACTTAGAGCTCCATCTCTGGTCTGTTCCCTAGGGGTCTCAGTCACGATGTTCCAGCTCCATTTTCCTCTAAATGCGTGTGGACAGTGTAATCTTGAAAGAGATTCCTTTTCTCTCCAGGTCCCAAGTTGTACCCATTGCTTCCCAATTCTGGGCAGGGCTGAGCTGAGGCCACTGGAACGTGTTCCCCTTCCACCCTGGGGCAGGCGGTGTCTGAGTCAGGCGGAGAGGTTTTGCTTCTCTGGGGCAGAGGGAGCTAGCCCCTCCTGGACAGGGCTCCGTCGAGTCTGCTCTGCCTGGGCACACAAAAGGGCTGGCTGGCCTCTTTGAAGGATGTGCTCTGGAGGAGCCCAGGCCCAGGCATTTAGTGGGTCTATGTTGGGGCCCCAGAGGCCTTGGCTGGCTGGAGCCTTTGCAACACAAGCTGCCAGGCGGTGACACACCACACTGGCCTGGCCCTGGCCCTAATGAGAAGCAGGGCGTTCCTGCCGTGGGGGCTCGGACCTGGGAAACATGAATCCACAAAGGGAAACTCTTGTCTCAAAAATATGTGGGGGAGCTGGAGCCCAGGATGGGGGATGGGGGTGGGGTCCCCTGGATAGCAGGCTGGGCCTTACTCCAGCTCACATACCTGATTTGGGTGGAGAGAGCAAGGGAGGAGATGTGGGGGAATGACCATGCGCCTCCCCCCCCTCCATGCCCCAGCTACAGGGCAAGCCAGGCCTGTGTTGAGAGACCAGAGGCAAAGTCTCAAATTGATTCATTCTTCTTGCAATATGGCGGCTCCTGTAGGCCGCTCAAGCCCCCCCCCCCCCCCCCCCCAACCTTCACTAGAGCCCTTGGTGTGGCCTGCCTCTTCATCTCCTTTCTCCAGGAAGTCACTGTACCCCCATCTTCCCTCACAGGAGAGACCCGTCCCCGCACTCACGCCCGTGTGCATCCACGGGCGCCCTTCCTCTCACACCGGACGTGCGGCTCGCACATTCCCACACACCTCCCCTCCTCACCTCACTGCTGTCTCTCACCAGCCCTGGTCCCTTCCCCCCCCTCCATCCTCGCAGCCTGCTCCCTGTGCTGGATGGTCTGGAGGCTCAGGTCTGGTCATCTCCAAGTGCCTGGCTTTTCATCGCCGGTGAATGACAGGAGCCTGGACTTGCACTCTAGGCTCTCTGGAATCTGGCTGCAGCTACCTCTTTGGGCACCTTCTCTGGGTGCTCAGCCACAGCCCCCCGTTTTCCTGTCCCTTCTCCTGCCTGTGGAGCAGAGAATGGTGGCCTAGGGGAGCCACACACACTTGGCTGTGGAACTGGATTCTGCAGCTTTCTAGCGCTGAACTTTTCTAGGCCTCCACTGATTGCCCCATCTGTCAAAGGAACATGAAGCTTGAGCGGGGAAAGGTGGCAGCGTGGTGCTGAGCACATAGTAAACGCCAGCCACTGCCAGGGTGCTAACCTGTCTGACTATCGATGACATCACAGTTACGTCACCATTCAGGGCTCCTCCCACAAGCTCCATCTGTCAAGTCTGATTCACCACAGACACACCAGCTTTCCTCCTCCCCGTCCCCCGAAGGCCCTGCTCCCGCACACACATGCTCTCACCCCACTTGTTTCTTTCCAGACAAGGTCTGGTCTCCCCACAGACCCCCTGAGCCCCTGAAGAGCCCCCCTGGTTGCTGGTGGGTGTGGCACGCCTGCCCTCGCTCTCACTTCCCCCATGGAGTGCTCAGAATTCCTGCATCTGGGAAAGGTTTGAGGCCTTAAGTCAATAGTGGCAGGCTGATTCATCTTCCCATTGGGGAATTGACTCAGACGGCAGAAATGAGGAGGTGAGGGGCTGAGGTGTTTTTTTTTTTTTGGGGGGGGGTGCCTAAGTGCTTCAGAATGCCTAAACTTTGTCAAACAATCCAGGTAGACTGAATTGTAACCTAAAGATATCAGTGCAGAAACATTCATTCATTCATCTATCGGTGTTCATTGACTAGCTGCCTTGCTCAGGTGCTGAACATCTGAAGATGCCTAGAGTGGGTTTTTTTTTTTTTTTTTGTCTTTTCTTTTTTGGTACTGGGGATCGAACCCAGGACGCTGCACTTGCTAGGCAAGCGCTTTGCCACTGAGCTACATCCCAGCCCTAGAGTGGGTTTTTACCCGTAAGGAGGCTAGCTTGCCTGGGAGACATACACACACGCACACACATACACACACACACAATATGCATACACACACACACACACACACGCACACACGCACACATGCATGATGGTATAGCCCCTTGACGTTGTGGGAAAAAGAGGCTGAGTATGGGGAGGGAAGGCAAGGGTCACTGTGTTTGAATATGCCAGATGCAGACACACA